GAAATGTTAAATGCTTCTTTTTTTGCGCAAATCCTATAAAGTCTGTGATGAAATACAATTCTGAACAGTTTGTCCAATATATTTCAGATTTAGCATTGCTTTGCGATGTGACTATTGCGGAACTGCACATTGCAATATCAATGCTGAAACGATATGTTGTGCAGCCCTAACATGAACGCTGCAAAAACCTATTTTCTTACTTAGATTTTTTGTCTTGTGTCTTGTCCAAATATCTAAGAATTCTTAAATTAAGAAGCATTTTCTACACAAGCAAATTACATTGTCTTTTTAAAAAGAAATTGCCAGATTATTCTGCTTGTTTTAAGGAAAAACTCACTTAATATTGGTATATTATTTCTTAAAACAAGACCATGTGTTTTGCTTGCCTAGAATATTATGTTTATATTATTATATTATTATATTTATGACTATAAAGAAGACAAAAAAAATCTAAGAAAAGCATTTTTGGCAGTGAAAGCTAAACGCTTTACCAGATTTTTTTCTTTACAACTTCATAAATGTGTATGCGGGTAGTTGACAAAAAGGCAGAAAAATAGCAGCTATTTACAAATAACCACTTATAAAATTAGTCCTGAGGTATTGATTACAGATTTTGTTTCTTTTTAATGTATAAGACTGTGCTTGAGACAGTCACAAAGGACAGTTTTGAGATCTGGCTCAAAAATGTAAAATATGGAATAACACAGCAGCTTTTTTAACAAGAGGTCCATGAAGAGAGTTACTGGCAGCTAGCTCTCTGCAACTCTCACATGGTCGCCCACTGAAGCTAAGCAGGGCTGTGCCTGGTCAGTACCTGGATGGCTCAACCTGTGGTCTGTCTGGGTCTTATTGTTAAAAATCCCAGGATGTACTTTGAAAAGGAAAAGCATCCTAGCCAAATTTGCCCACTTCATCATGGCCTCTTAACCATCCCCATATCCCACTCTGTCTCCTCTCCAACAATCAGCTGGTGTGCGATGTGCAATATGGCTACTGTCATGTCATCCAGGTGGACGCTGCACACTAGTGGTGGATGTGGTGGATTTTTCCTCTAAAAATGTGTAAAGTGCTTTGAGTGTCCAGAAAAGTTCTATATATATGTAATGAAGTATTATTATTATTATTATTATTATTATTATTATTATTATTACTATTTATTTATTTTCTTTTCGGTTTAGTCGCTTTATAAAGTTGGGGTCGCCACAGCGGAATGAACCGTCAGCTTTTCCAGCATTTGTTTTTCATAGCGGATGCCCTTCCAGCTGCAACCCATCTCTGGGAAACATCCATACACACTCATTCACACTCATACACTACGAACAATTTAGCCAACCCAATTCACCTGCACTGCATGTCTTTGTACTGTGGGGGAAACTGGAGCATCCGGAGGAAACCCAAGCAAACGCAGGGAAAACATGCAAACTCCCCAACTGACCCAGCCGAGGCTCGAACTAGCCACCTTCTTGCTGTGAGGCGACAGCACTACCTACTGCGACACCGCATCGCCATTATTATTATTATTATTATTATTATTATTATTATTATTATTATTATTATTATTATTATTATTATTATTATAATGATGATGATGAAATACAAAGAAATGCTTAACTGTTTACTGCATTTGATTGATACTAATTATACTCAATTTTTATGTGTTCATGTTCAATTTTTAATGTCATGGTGTAACAGTGAATTGCAACATGTATGCACCCCATGTTCATGCTAGAAACAATAAATATAAGCTAAATCCTCTGTATAAATTTAATGGTTGAATCTAACATTGATTGCTTTAGAATCTAACAGTCATTTCTATATATATTTTTAGTTAAATCCAGCAAAATAGAGCAGTTGTTATTTTTATCCAACTAGACTGGCCTGTTTCTGCCGCACACTTTATTACAAATGCACCACCCCATAAATATTCATTAAAAGCATTATATAATAAATGTGAATCCATCCCATTTGAGTGCTGTCAACATTATTCATAATATTATTCAACGACATTCAACAGACTGAATTAACTTGATTGGCAGTCCATTGGCATCAGCTTTGCTGCTCTGTGCTTTTCCTCAGGCTCATAAACAGAGTAAAGAAAAACATTCACAATGACCACTTCAAAGATTTATTGGGCAGATACTCACTCAATCCATTTAGCACTGTAAACACTTACGTAAAGAAGGCAACATGCTCCAAAAAGTCCAAGATATAGGCTTGAAATCCTTTTGTTTGCCTGGTGTCCAAGTAAAGTTGAAATCCCTGTGCATAGAGCAAAGGTAGTTTTCCATTCGCTGCAAAAGTCTTGAAAGCACCTGCTTTTTTTCAGATGCAAACAATAAGAGTAAACAGTACTTCAAGAAGCGAAGATGAAGCAACCAGTCCTGTCTGACTCAACGCACTAAGCAATGTCTTTGAGAGATATTTATATATATATATATAAACAAGTAAAAAAGTAATTTCATATATTTTATTGAAGTCCTTTGTCTTCACCTCGCAGCATGTTTCCCATCATCCTCTGTCCGTCAAACAGGTTTCTGAAGTAACTAATCCACGTCAAGCTTTTATTTCAGAAGCCATTCATTCACTGAAAGCAGATGAAAATGTGTTGTCACATAACTTTCTCTGTCAATTAAAACAAAAGCTTAAAGAATATTTTTATTCATCAAAGAATCCTGCAAGAAAAAATAGTTTTGAATAAGCATCTGCTATGTATGTGACACAGAACTAAAAATCAGTATTAAGGGTCAATTTTTAGAAATTGAGATTTACACATCATCTGAAAGCTAAATAAATAAGCTTTCCATTTATGTGTTTTTTTAGGATAGAAAAATATTTGAACAAGAAACAACTACTTGGAAATCTAAAAAATACAATACAAAAATTTAGAAAATTGCATTTAAAGTAAAATTAAGTTTAGATTTATAGTTTACTATTTAAAAAAAACTAATGTAATGCATTTTTGGCTTTCCCATAAATATACCTGTTACTAGAGCACCTTTAGAGGTCAGAGGAGTGAGGTTTACCTGCATAAAACTTCGCTAGCTGGCTTCTGTTGAATTCACTCTTCTAAACCTCATCCCCATCCCAGATGAGCCCCCACATGTAACCCAGCAGTCCTATTGCACCCAACCCGCTCTGAGCTGGGATCGAAATGGCGATTCTTTGTATGGGAGTTGGTTGCTCTAACAAGGTCGCTAGAGCACATTTTGTGAGGTCAGAGGAGTGAGGCTTACCTGCATAGCACTTGACTAGCTTGCCTCTGTTACGCACATATACTGTCAAAATCAACTATTTTCAACTATAAAAGTTTCAGGAGTCAAACAAATTTAAATAGGCAAGTATACTACTTAAATTATTGTGAAGTGTGTATTGAGCAAGACTGAATGATTGTCACTGTGGTAAGTTCTGTTAACTGATTTGAATTTAATATTACACTAGCAAACTCTTCTTAGGTTGTACATGCTGTTCTTGTGTTTACACTGGCTCCCAGTAACATTCAGAATAGATTTTAAAGTTGTAGGGTCCAGCCAGTTGGTCCAATGACGGTATCCACTGGTGGATGAAGGTTCACTGCATGTTCGGTTTTTCCAGTGCACAATGTTGATTTATATTAAACTTAGCTCATATCTGACTCCAATTTTAGTATGAGGTGGTTTAGAATATTAATATATTTATCCTCGTTTTATCTGACTCCAATCATAAAACATTAAGAAGATTATATCAATATGTAATTTAGATAAATGTTTGAACCGTTTGTCTTCACTAGTAACTATTACATCCGTTCATTCGGGTGCTCATGTCGCTCAGAGAAATCGCCTCGGCCGAAGGCGTCCCTCACGGTCACACTCCGGTCAGTCTTGAATATTAAACAGAGGTAAATTGACTAATACTTTAGATGGCCGCTACCAGCGCGCTCGTTCTAAAATACTTTAGTTAGTCCCGCTTAGGTGTACACCTTTGAGTTAAGACAATCATCATTTCTAATTAGAGGTTAGGGCATTAATATAAATGTACCCGACTACTGGACTCTATAGTAACTTTGGTTTTCACCAAGCCCATGGTTTCCATATGAACTTAATTTAGAATAATATTACCTTCAAACAAAGGTCGGGTACCCAATCTAGGTTAGTCGTGCAACACCTTGTTGACCTAGACGGAAGTTATCGCCCTTTCCACCTAAGTACACATGAATCAATATCAAGAGTCAGCCGGATCCCTAAAACACAATTAGTGTGCCCAATGCTCCATCTCAATTGGATTTTAGTCCGTCTACTGACCTGACGCAAGACGTGCGGAAACAAGGATACAGCGTAATCTACTTGAATTAATAATTACAGAGTGAGCAAAATATGGTCAAACATTACAATTTATTAGTCAGGTAAATGTATTATGCCAATTCAATCAGTCAATTCATAAATGATCAATACAAAACATCAAATTATCAAAGATAAATCCAAGATGAAAAAGATGCATACCTGACTTCAAAAATATACATAACATGGAGTAATCCATGTTATGGGCTGATCTGGTTAGGCAGAATCGCGCTGAGTCTTTCTCAGACCTTACCTTAAATAATCCAAGAATTCCCTCAAGGAAGGGTGTGTGAATAACAAAAGGCATTCACACTTTAGTGGAAAGTCACACCCCTCACAGTGGTTCAAAAGATGCCTGAAGTTATATATTTATTGTTTTGATTATGTCTATTTCTGAGAGAATGAGACCATTGTACCAATCGCACTGAGACATTTCAAATGATATCAAACATGATAGTTAAAGTCAGTTTGGTTAATCTAGAACATTCAAACATTGAAATGACCATATGTGTGAGTTGGGGGGATGAAGCTGAGTTTCAGCATACTCAGATGCAAATGCAGCAGGAACTGGTTTTTCCCGCATTCCCCCCTGGTGGGTTGTGGAGTCCATTGGCCCTGTTTTCAGCTTATGTTTTGAATTGTCAAAGACATCAAAAATAATTGTAATATTTCAATTCTTACAAAGTATTACTACTTGTCTAGAAATTACTAAATGGCCTATAGGACCTCAATACAGTACAGATATGCTCAATGAATACAAACCTAACAGATCTCAAATCTTTAGGATCATATTAAACTAGAAATTTCAAGGGTTCAGTCAAAGCAGGTTGAATCCGCATTCAGCTACTACACCCCCCGCTGCTGGAATCAGCTTCCAGAAATAATCAGATGTGCTCCAACATTAGGCACATTCAAATCAAGACTGAAAACACATCCCACAGACCGCACTATTGTATCTTTCTTTTCTCTTTTATAACCTGTTTTACCATATTTTAAAGGTTTTTAATTACTGTTATTGTTAGTTTTTTATACTTGTTTCTCTTATTCTTGTTATGAAAAGCACTTTAAATTGCAACTGTATATGAAATGTACTATATAAATAAACTTGCCTTGTCTTGCCTAGAGTGGTTAGATGTTGGTCATCATGTTTTGCTTCTATTTCCTTGATAAAGTAAGTTATTTGGATTCATTCCAGCTCATGGACTTATTCTTGTTTGTTGTTTTTTTGCAGCAAGAGCTGGCATACCTGCAGCTGTTTTTGGCTCTGTTTAATTGAATTATCACATGCCTAGAGAAAAGAGTCACATCTCTAAAAGTTCAGCCAGGTTCCATATAGAAGTCATGCAGTTTTGTAAATGCAGATGGATTTTGGATTATTCCATGATTTGACACAAGCACACCCTCTATTGCTACCCCAGTTTTTTTAACCAAATAAATGTTGTCTTGGAAAGTGTTAGGGATGTATACATGTATACTCATATATTAAACAGGCTGCTGAAGTAACTAATCCACCTCAAGCTTTTACTTCAGAAGCCATTCATTCACTGGAAAGAGATGAGAATGTGCTGTCACAAAACTTTCTTTGTGGAGCGTAACACTTATTCACAAAGATAAATGTTTCAATTCCATCTGTTTCAAGAGCGATAATGATGAGTGTCTAATTAGCTCATGCTTTCTTGAGCGCAGCATGTGTGCAATGTGCTCTTATGACACACGCTGTGTGTGTGTGTTACACAGACCTCTGTATTGTGGCCTCAGCATGCGGTTGTTGGGACAGTCCCGCCTCTGGCTGAAGTTGATGTTGGTACGGATGCAGCGCTGGTGCAGAGTTTGGGTCGGCCGCATGTTGTCACCCATACTGAGGAAGATCTGAGACGGCTGGTTTTGACTGAGGAGACGAAGAGACTGCATCTATGGAAATTCATTATAATACAGTTGAAGTCAGAATTATTAGCCCCCTGTTAATCTTTCCCCCAATTTCTGTTTAATGGAGAGCAGATTTTTTCAACACATTTCTAAACAAAATAGTTTTCATAACTCATTTCTGAGAAATAATTTATTTTATCTTTGCCATGATGACAGTAAGTAATATTTTACTAGATATTTTTTCAAGACGCTTCTATACAGCTTAAAGTGACATTTAAAGCCTTAACTAGGTTGATTAAGTTAGGGTAATTAGGCAAATCATTGTATAACGATGGTTTGTTCTGTAGACTACAGAAAAAAATATGCAGCTTAAGTGGCTGATAATTTTGACCTTAAAATGGTTTTAAAAATTAAAAGCAGCTTTTATTTTAGCTGAAATAAAACAAATAAGACTTAATAACCCTAAAGCTTTCCAAATAAATTTGTTTATTTTATAAATGTATTTTATATTACACCAAATACAATTTGGTACTTACAAATAATATAATATAATATAATATAATATAATATAATATAATATAATATAATATAATATAATATAATATAATATAATATAATATAATATAATAATTAATTTATTACAATATATAAAAAATGTGGAGACAATGTTTTGTATTTCCCAGAACTTGCAGTATTTCACCTCTATCTGTGAGATGTAAATTGGCTTATTCATTAATATCCAGGTAGCTGTCTCAAGGCACGGTGGAATAGTAATCGACCCTTCATAAGTGATAAACCGTGAGGTTTCGGGATACAGCTCCTCAATATTCAGCCCCATCAATAAGTATGCATCATCTGAAAAGACAGTATTAGACAACCGATGAGAACAGATGAATCACACACACACTTTTTTCATCATCCTAAGATGTCTATCTCCCTACAGGAAAATGAAGGATATTATCATATTGTCATTTTTTTTGTTCCAATAGCAATGCTGAGATAATAAAATATCACTTCATATCCAAGACCACCAGGTGGTAATACAAAGCCAAGTTTGTTTTTCCTGTCCTTTTTCATTAAGGGTTATGAAGCCTCTCACAAAAGCTATTTTAATTCACACTCAGACTATGCAAACCGTTTGATTTATATTACAGTTGAAGGCAGCTTTCAATCAAATCAAATACACCAATATTAACATACATTAATTTTGATCGTAATACAAATTTAAAGACATAGTTCACCCTAAAATGAAAAAAAAAAAAATGCTGTTAATTTATTTACCCTCAGGCCATCCAAGGTGTAGGTTGACGTTTCATGGCTCAAAGTGATTCATAAGATAGTCAATGGCTACCAGCACTTTGAGAGTAATAATGTTGTAAATAATGTTCAGTTTCTTGGTCAGACTGATCATTTGGCTTTACAGGGCCTCAATGTATTGTTAAGAACCACAGGTATAAATGTTTTTGCCATTATGTTTTTTTTAACCTTTCAATTTTTCATAACCATTAACTTGCATTTTATGAATCACCAAGGACCAGAAGTTTCTGCTAAAAAATCAAAAACTTCACCTACATCTTGGACAGCCTGAGGATGAATCATCAGCACATTTTCATTTCTGGGCAAGCTATGCCTTTAACACTAACAAAAAACAGCCTTCAAAAGTTAACGAATGTACAAAAAGTGCTCAGATGACATTAAGAAAGTCACATTTGTGGCACTCACGCTTATATGTAATCCTCGTAACGGTCTCTCTATTCAGCATACGGTTTAGAAACACATTGGTAGGCTCTGAAATCTGTAGAAAAAATTTGAAAGCAAACATTTAGCAAGTAGACATCTGCAGCAATTTCTGATGAAAAGGCAGAGTTTCATAAAACATGCTTTTGGTGAGTCTATTCATCACAAATGACGTGACCGTTAACTTACTGCTGAGAGGTTTCATTACGCCTTCACCATGTAATCAATAATAGTCTAGTAGAATTTATTCTAGGGGCATCTGGTGGTGTTTTTTTTATATGTTCTGAAGACGAATGACTTTCATTCATGTGCCTTCATTAGGAGGAGAATGGTGGAGATTCCCCGACATCTCGATCGCTGAGAAGCCGGATAAAAGTGAGCTGCAGTGCTGCAACACCTTCATCTGAACTGTGGCAGCTCTGCCCTCATTTACACCGAAGTCACGATTCAGAGCGACGGGGAGAGAGGCGTCTCTGAGAGCAATCTGTGAGCTTTACGTCATGCTGTGTGATGAGGTTAAATACCTGGGAATCTCAGCCATTATCACACTTTAGATATGAGGGGAAAAATCAACAAAAACAAAAACAGAGGCAGCGCTGTCTGAAATAAATTCCTCAGTGCTGTTGCGTGGCTTTTGAGATTCATTTAATTGCTACATTTTAATTTAAAATAGATTGACATTTATAATCTGCCACCTTTATTACATTGAATATATTCAATTAGATGATGTTATAAAAAGACCTTTCTGGAGCATAGCTTTATGCATATGGGATGACTGCATTTTTTTACTATGAGAAAGAAATGGATTAGTTCAATCCCATTCTCCCTTTTCCCAGCATGCATGAATAATTAATATAGTTTGACCATTTGCCAGTTTCATTTAGGCTGCGTCCCAAATCACACATTTTTATGAGTAGTTTGTTGTTTTTTTAAAATAAGTAGTAACTTTGTGAGTGCTTTAGGGATGCTCGGACTGATAGGCAGCAGATTGTGATCGGTCTTATTATTCATTCATTCAATTTCCTTCGCCTTAGTTTCTTTATTCATCAGGGATGGCCACAGTGGAATGAACCGCCAACTTTTCCAGCATATATTTTACACAGCGGATGCCCTTCCAGCTGCAACCCAGAACTGGGAAACATTGACACACATAGACTACGACCTATTTAGTTTATTTAATTGACCTATACTGCATGTGTTTGGACTGTGGGGGAAACTGGAGCACCCGTAGGAAACCTACATGATCACGAGGAGAACATGCAAACTCTATACAGAAATGCCAACTGGGCAAGCCGGGTTCGAACCAGTGACCTTCTTGCTGTGAAGCAACAGTGCTAACCACTGAGCCACCATGGTGCCATCATTCTGATTAATTTGGCTGATATCTTCAATTTGAAGTTATAAAACTCATGAGGACTAGGGCAAGGCAGGGCTTAAGGGAAAAGAAAAGTGCCCAGAAATTCAAGAGAAGAAAGAAAAACGTATGTCAGAGCAGTTGAGCTAAACTTTTATGGTCAATGTCAAAAGTGTCCATTTCTTTGAAAAACTAAAAAAAAATCAGTCACTTATTCCAAAGATGTTTGGCTTTCTTTCTTCCATTGAGCACAATAAATTATATTTTTAAGAAAGGTGGTAACCTGTAACTATTAAGATGCACAGTAATTATTTTTCTCAGTATAGACATCAATAATTGCCCGTTTCCAACATTCTTCAAAATATCTTCTTTTGTATTTAACATAAAAAAAGAAATTCTCAAAGGACTAAAACCATTTGAGTGAGACAAAGTAAATAGTGAGTAAACTTTCAGTTTCAGATGAACTATCTCTTTAACCATTTCTGTTGAACTTACAGTAAGAATGCAACAGCCAATCAAAAGCATTGAAAGAGTTTTGTTAAACATGCATGTTCACTCAATGAATTCTGCATACTTCTGAATTCCCTTATCATAGACTATAAAGTCTTGAAACAAAGTATAAGATTAATTTCACTTATAATCAATAATACATTATAATCACTTATAAGTGATTAAAAGGGCAGCTTTTGCAATAACATCAATGTCATGAACTGACATTTTCTCTATGTAGCAAGAATATGACATGATTTTAATCCAAACTCTAACAAAAATGTATCCTTTTTTTTTTGTTTTCAGTCAAAAATTAGACAGTGCTAATTTATACTTAATGAACTAGATGAAAAAAAGTTTTTTTGTTTCTTTGAAGCAACATAGATGCATAACAAGATGCATAACTAATGCACAGTGCTACAGTCAGAATTTCATTTAATATATCACCCATAATTAAAGTACCTAGAATTTTAATATCAGCTTCACATTTGATCAAAATCTAGAATGGATATTAGATTATTTTTTCACAATCAGTCACTTTCAAGAAACACTGCTTTAATAATTGGACAGGCATAATGAAACTAAATACTAATATTAGACTGTGCAGAAAAAGGTCACATGACATTTTGAACTCTGAACGTGAAGTTTTTTGGATGATTTCTGATTTATAGTTAGATATAATTACAAATGTGCTTGGATAAAACAACTTTTCTGAAAAAAACTGAGGATATTTCCCCAAATCTAAAATATTTGTTTTCAAATAATGTTTTCTTCTGGAGGATTTTTGGCACCAAATAACAAAAAACGATCGGTTGAAGATCGCTATTGGTCGATAATCGCATTTAATGACTCGATCGATCCTCGCTGATCTGGCTCACCGATCTCATGAACCAATCACAAGTGTTTGTGTTAGTTGGAGATGAGCAAAATATTTGAATGACCTTGCATGTATTTAGGCCTTTTTACATATAAGAAGTCAATTTTTTTCCCAATGAATATTTAATACAACTTCTTGTAATATACATATTGCAATAAATAGTACACAGCAAATTCATCTAAGGTAAATTCTCAGTGTTAAAGCATTTCAGAGTAAAGTGTTGACATTATAGAGTTAGATTTTAATAAATGAATATTATCAGACTTTGAAGATAAATTGATTCAGTGTAAAAATCACTTTTACTTCCAACATTTACATTCAACTTACATTTACATTAATTTACATTACAACATTTACATTCAAGAGAGTTGAATAAAAGAACACTACATAACAGTAATAAAAGTTAAGTAATAAAAAAAGAAAAAAAAAGAAAAAAGTAATAAAAACTGGAAAAATAAGAAAAAAATAAGAAACATTAATAAAAAATAGGTAAAAAATAAAAAGGAAAAAGGAAAAATAGGGAAAAATAAAAAATAAGAAAAAATGGGAAAAATAGGAAAACAATTTGTAAAATACTACAAATGGGGGGGGGGTAAAAAGGAAAAAAAAAAATAAATAAATAATAATAAAAAAATAAATAATAATAATATAAATAGGAAGCAATAAAAAAAAATTGTAACAAATAAGAAACACTAAGAAAAAGATTGGAAAAAAGTCTGAAAAAATAGGAAAACACTCTGTAGGGAGTGAACCCCATAATACACTTTCAAAGTGTTGAAATCAACTCTCTTAAAGTTGTTTTGGGTCTCCATATTTTGCTGTGTAGTTTATTGAACTTTTTTCTTTTAGTAAAGAAGTAATGGATTCAAAGGTGTGCATTGTAACTTCTTATGCAGCAAATATGCGCTCCAAACTTTTCCTTGATTGAGACAAGTTGAATTCTACCATCATGTGCAATGTTTTTAAACTACATCGTAATTTTTTTTTACCAATTTTTAAAATTTGTTTCATATATTTTCAGTAAAGTTGATTCTGACCATGACATGTTCACACCTAAATGGCTATAAGAGACACGTTTAAGGAATTATTAGCAGCATCCTTTATTTGTTCTCTAGGTAAAGCGAGATCTCCACTAAAGTACCATACATAGAGGCAAAACATGCTTTATAATATAAAGCTTGAAGCATCAGAATTACTACTCAGTATTGGCCCATCACCATGACATGGAATCGGTACTCGGCATTGGCTGCAAAAATCCTTATCGGAGCATCCCTATATTCATATTTAGACAACACCATAAAAATAGTCAAAAACTTTATTAAATTAATAAATGTATAATGCTTAAAATGAACAATTAATAATGTAAATTTCACGACATGTTGATTCATGCACACTCAAATTGGACTGGATGTGAACTGCTGATCTGTTAAGTCTATAAATTACGTTTGCTAAATATTAATGAAGTTGAAGACTAATTAATGAAGTGTCAGCTCTCCCTTCATACATTTAAAGCAGCTGAGACAACTAACCTTCATGAAGATAGAAACAACTGCAATTCCATTAGGACTCCTGACGGCATCACTGTAATTTAAATACAAGTCCTGATTATAATGGATGAGTTGCACCTGTGAAAAGAAACGAAAGTGTTAGTTTCAGGATAACAAACACCTGCTCTGAAAAAAAAGCGTGGAGCCAAACACATTGTGACTGCACAACTGGCTCCACTTTCTAAATAGCCGTAATCTATAAAATATGCTCATAAATTATGCGTATATAACAGCATAACTCCATTAACTCCCTTTGTGTCAGCTTATAATCTCGTGTGACACCATAATGAGGGTCAGTGCATTAATCCATATAAATATTTTGCTTTGTGTTGTGTATAAATTTGTAATGAATTGTTAATGGGAACATTATGAAGCTCCTTTATGCCCCTCCGCACGGCTTTATCGTTCTTTCAGCGCAGCTCAATGAAAGCAGAGATGGAAGCCAGAAAAGCTGCTGCTTAATTTTCGGTGGCTCAAAATTGCATTGGAACTCATTAGAAAATATGCTTCAGTCATCAGTTATAATGAGCTTGCTTGTCAGCCTCAAAATGAAGTTGTTGGAAAGCTGCTGCCCATATAACCTCATTTGAATTAGGAAAATGAAGTGAAGCTGCTGACTTCAGTGGAATCAGAGGTGAGGATCAGAGAGGGCCGAGCATCTTCATGCCTCGCTAAGATGAAGCATAAACTCATTAAAGCTATTCGATATGTTTGGCGCAAATTGGTGGTCTCCGGAAACTGCCGCTTGTTGTAAATTAAGAATTGTTTGTTGTGCTTCGGTGAGAGGGTTCATGAGGAAAAGCTCAACAAATCTTTCAATCCTTATTACTCGGATTAAAATGTGACAAATGTTTAGACAAGTATTGCACGGATATATACTCATTAAATATTTTGTAAAGAAGATTTCTATGCTCACCAAGGTAGTTTTTATCTAATCAAAATAATGTAATAACAGTAGTTTTATGCATTTTTGTTCAGTAATAATTTCTTTCAATAAAATGAACTCTCCCAGCTTGGTGTATCACTGCTATACTAATAATAGCTCAAATTAATTTTCAAGAATTTCACAGTTATGTCACACTTACATAGTAACATAGATTTTTTTTATTTACAATTTACATGTTCATCAAAGAAAAGTGTTTAAATGAACTGCATTTTAATATACACTCACCGGCCACTTTATTAGATACACCCGCTCAACTGCTTATTAATGCAAACTTCTAATCAGCCAATCACATGGCAGCAACTCAATGCATTTAGGCATGTAGACATGGTCAAGACAATCTGCAGCAGTTCAAGCCGAGCATCAGAATGTGGAAGAAAGGTGATTTAAGTGACTTTGAACGTGGCATGTTTGTTGGTGTCAGACGAGCTGGTCTGAGTTTTTCACACTATTTATCTACTGTCATTTTCATGCACAACCATCTCTGGGGTTAACAGAGAATGGTCTGAAAAAGAATGGCCAGACTGGTTCAACCTAATAGAAAAGCAACAGTAACTCAAATAACCACTCATTACTACATAGGTATGCTAAAGAGCAACTCTGAACACACAACCACGCTTTATGACCACAGTGTACTCATCTTCTGATGGCTACTTACAGCAAGATAACATGTCATAAAGCACGAATGGTCTTACACTGGTTTCTTAAACATGACAGCGAGTTTACTGTACTCAAATGGCCTTCACAGTCACCAGATCTCAATCAAATAGAGCATCTTTGGGATGGGGTGGAACAGGAAATTAAAATCAAGAATATTCAGCCAACAAATTTGCAGCAACTGTGTGATGCTATCATGTCAGTATGGACCAAAATCTCTGATGAATATTTCCAGTACCTTGTTAAATCTATAACATGAAGAATTAAGGCAAGTGTAAAGAGAAAAAGGGGGTTCAACCAGCCAGAGAGAAGGCAGTGTTAAGAACCAGGATTAACCAAAGCTTGGTTTGTTTGATGAATCCCATCACCAAACATTAGTAGCACTAGACCAGACCAACTGATATCCGACTGTCTAAACTGGAAGACAGCTCATTGTTCTAGTGTTGCATTTAGACTGTTCTTGCAGCACAATAAGTTCTTAAAATTCAAATTTCTATAGGCCTGACTTTTGCCCTAAAAACTTAGGGGCTGTTCACACATGCTCACTTCATGTTTTTTTTTTTTCAGGTTATTTGATATTGAAAGGTTCATGTGTGCTTCATGCTTCTGAAAGGCATTTGAGATGTAATAAATCCAATTGCTCAGACCACTTCAGGAAGGTGGTCTGGGACACATTCCAGATAAAAAAGGAGCTGAATGCATTCTGTTCAACATGGGATAAAAAATAAAGATGTGAAAGTGTCTTATAGGCTATATGTCAGATATAACAGATGCCACAGATGACAAATTTGCAATGTTTGTTTCGCTTTATTAGATTTTTTTTGTTTTGTTTTATATTTGACTGGTCGTTAATCAACAAATGATGGAATTAGAATGTTTAGTTAATATCAAATGGCTGTACTGACAACAGCGATGATGCAAACAGCTTAGGCTATCTTTGTGAACGCGGAGGAAAAACATTAGATAAACATAGCATTTCTTTCATCTACAAAGGCACAGGGTTTTATTTTTGGAAGAGTATGTTATTCATAAATCAATGAAAACCCTTTATAGTATTGAATGATGTCATGCTTGTATCTATACGACAAAATTAGATGTTTCTTTTAGCCTTTTTAGCCTTTTAGCCTCTTTTTTCTTTAGTATTTAGAGCCTTGTGTGCTGTTGATGATGTTTTACTGGAAGGCCAGTATAGTACAAAGCCTCCTGTAGCCTACACATAGTATGAACATACATTTCTGTAAAGGGGCAGCACAGTGGCGCAGCGTGTTAGCACAATGGCCTCACAGTAAGAAGGTCGCTGATTCGATCCCCGTCTGGGTCAGTTTGCATTTCTGTGTGGAGTTTATGGATGTTTCTCAGTGATAGGTTGCAGCTGGAAGGGCATCTGCTGTGTAAAAGATATGCTGGATAAGTTGCCGGTTCATTCCACTGAGGCGACCCCAGATTAATAAAGGGACTAATTCAAAAAGAAACCGAATGAATGAACATTTTTATAAAATTCTGTAAAAAAAAAAGTGTATAGATCAGGATTGGAAGATTGAAATCATATCCATTTAGAAATGCATTTATGCAGCCAAATGTAAACGTACAAAATTTGTGTATTTGTGCAGATCAGAGAAGTATCCCAAAGCCAAATAAGTATAATATATCATTTTTGGATTTCTCAGGATTTATTCATTTTTTTAAGTCAGATAAAATACACTGAGCTTGACCAGGTGTAAACAGGCCCTTAGTGGCACAGCATGATTTGCTATGCCTATACAGATATATAGGATCAGATATCTATATCTTTAGTGCTGTGCCACTAAGGGCCTGATTACACCTGGTCACCTCATCCACAAGCTATCTGACTTGGATAGCTATCTGATAAGTTAAAAAATAAAAAGAAAATCCAGAGAAATCCAAAAATGATCAATATACTGAACTTATTTGGCTTTGGAATATTTCTCTGATCTGCTCAAATGAGGTCTTTTTGTACATTTCATGCTGTCGAAGAAAAGCAGACTAAGGGTAGTAGATTTTTTTTAATGGTGTAAAACTAATGTGATAAAAAGGACTAACATCACAATTTTGCCTAGTTCATTAACTTCAGTGCCAGTACTTCAAGGGTTTGTTGCCGCATCCAGGCGTTTGAAGGAAGACAGCTCTAATTGAATCTTGCAGAAGTGATGTATTATTTCCAGGCTGTGTGTTGGCTCACCTCTCCAGGGAAGGCCTGGCCATTGAGCAGGTGCTCTGATCCCCGATTGTCCTCACTGCCAAAGTGAAGCCGGATCTCCTCCAGCCTGTAGCTGTAGCTCAGCGGCCCGCCAGAGATGTTCACCAGGTGTGACTTGTCTGGGCGCAGTGACACATGCCGGCCCGTGTTATACATCGTTCCACTGACCTGAAAAACACACCCAAACATTTATTTTTAGGATTAGATGCCTTCTGGCTTTCACATTTCTGACCATTTATGGTAAAACAATATTAAAGATGTACCTCAACACTAGCAAAGTGAGCTTTCAAAAAAACTTTGCTGTTTGTTCCAACTATTTATTTAAAATGTAAGGCCCCGTTTACACTAATATGTTTTAGTTTTAAAATGTGTAAGTTGCTACGGTTACGTCTTCTGTCCACACTATACCGGAGTTTTCGAGCGCCGAAAACGGAGTGTTTTAAAAAACAGAGACATCTGAAAATGGAGGTGTGGGGCATCTGATTGGGGCTTTTTCCTCAATATTAAGTACCCTACTCAGTTCAGTCATGCATCGTCTTCTTAAGAGTTCACACTTTGCAAGCTTGATATAGAAAACAAACTCCTGAGGACACATCGGGTAAATCTTCAAAGGGAACAAAGTACTTTATAACCTCATTCGCATCACCCTGGCTACATTGTTTCACTATCTTAACAATAAAATGAAAACATGATTTAAGGAACTGCTATTTTCATTCATTTTCTTGTCGGCTTAGTCCCTTTATTAATCCGGGGTCGCCACAGCGGAAAGAACCGCCAACTTATCCAGCAAGTTTTGACACAGCGGATACCCTTCCAGCCTCAACCCATCTCTGGGAAACATCCACACACATACTCATTCACTACGGACAATTTAGCCTACCCAATTCACCTGTACCGCATGTCTTTGGACTGTGGGGGAAACCCGGAGGAAACCCATACGAAGGCAGGGAGAACATGCAAACTCCACACAGAAACGCCAACTGAGACGAGGTTCGAACCAGTGACCTTCTTGCTGTGAGGCGTCAGCACTACCTACTGCGCCACTGCCTCGTCGAACTGCTACTTAACAACTAACTTAACAGACAGCAGAAATGTTGAGGCATCATGCTGCATATTTACATAAGCTTCACTGTATCATATTTTTAACAAAACGAAGCCTATGACATCACTGCCTCCTTTCATTTTCATTGAAAATTTGAAACATAAATATCAGTTTTAATAATCAATAATGGCCATTATAAAAGTATAAGGTACAATAAGTTTATATATTATAGGAAATATAGGCAAGCAATCAGTCAATATACAGAATGTACGAGGTTACATTAATTATTAACTTATCTTTGCGCTCAGCCAAAACACGTTACAAGTAATAGATTCAAAAGACCAAAGAATATGTTGTTAGATGTAGACAACAAGATTAATTAAATTTCACGTTTAACAAATATAGTGAGATTAGATCCAGCGGTAGATCCTTGATGAACAGTCTGGCGAGCACAGCTCTCATCTGGCTAGATATGCTGCAGCGCATGTTAGTGTCTGTATATGTGTGTGTGTGTGTGTGTGTGTGTGTGTGTGTGTGTGAGGTCACATGAAGTAGTTTTCAGTGGTGTGGTGCTGTCACGATTACCAGCGATCGGATTCCATAAGATCGCTGGACTTCATTCACTATAACCTATGGACTACAATTCCGCACTTTCTGGACTACATATTCATACATGCACTTTGCTCAGACACACATGCTTCCTCATCTAGACTGATTACTTGCACCACCTGAGGATTGTCAGCGACTGATTGCACACACTATTTAAGCCACACTCATCCATTCAGTTTTGGCCGAGTTTTGTTTACTGTCAGTAGCACTACAACACGGTTCCCAGTCTTGTTATCCTGTGTACCGACCTTAGCCTTGTTAGCATCCTTGTCTTAGTCTGCCGCCTGCCTTTTGACCTCTCGTCTGTTACTGAATACGATTCTGGACTGCCTACACATACCCATTTGTACCTGTATTGACCATTGCTTGCCTGACGACGAATAAACCTGCATATTGGATCTTACCTCAGTTGTATGTGTCACTCCCCGTGGTTACAGGTGTAGAGTTGTTCAGAAACGCTGGGTGAAAAGCTAGAGGGGACGCGGATCATTTTCATTCTAAAATGCCGTTTTAAAACCAAAACGTACAAGTGTAAACGGGGCCTAAGTCTCTCCATAATACCAGACCCTGTTATAAAATTCCATGAGGCAAGACCTTGAGATTTGTCAGGCACTAAAACAATAAACTTTCTAATCTGAGAAGAAGATCAACTACGAAACTAGTTGTTCAACTGTCTCAGTAACCAACCCTGAGCCTCCTCTCTGCCCTTTACTTTACCTTCTCCACCAGAGCAGGTCACTGACACTCTTCCACACATAATTTGCAGATTTTTAATCTGGTGTATCTTGTGGATCTATATTCATGTTTGGTATCATTTTAAATGTTGTTGTGTGATTGGTAATGTGGTCTTAATTTTACAGTAATATTTTATAATTTCACTTGTTTATGTTGATCTGGGCTTCAGCTTTGATAAGATCGTTGCCAGATGCTCCACTCCAGGGAAAATGGTCTTCACATCAACTCATGACCAGACAAGGGTGTGTGTGAAGCTTTTATTGTCTTGAATTTACGATTTTTTGTTGTTATTTAAGGTGAGTATTTAAGGGAAAGGTGTCTGTGGGATCCTGTAGCCAGGACACCCCATTGCAGTGTGTGAGTCTCTGAGCTCTTTATCAAGGCTTACATGCAGCAATGCACTTCTACACGGTCAGGTATTAATTTCTAACTCTTAAATCTCGCATCTTTGGCTAATGATGTTGTACAATCTGAATTGGATTATTTTGTTTATGTGAATTGGAATGGAAAATATTTGCCTGGCAAATAAATGTAAAAATTTTATTTAACACTGATATCTCCTGAAATCTTTATAAATCTAGTAGATTGTTTAGGCTGAGGTTTCTGCAACCTACGACAAGGATTGCTCATACATTCGGGCTCAATGGATGGAGCATAGGCACAACATTAGAGACCTGTCAATTTCTGACAATCACTGACTTGGTATGATATAATCTAGTGACTAAATCAAAATGTCTATGTATGAGCAAGCATTGGGCGGCCTAATATTACTTATCCTCATTATATCCTCTATCCAAGAACCACAACTGGCAAGGCTGTGTATGTGAGCAGATATAACTGGCCAGCACTCTAAGCTATTTCGGGTAAACGATGAACCATTAAATGAAAATAAAGAATTATTAGGTAATTCAATCTTAATTAGACCAAATCACAACCTATAAGGTGATCAGCTTGAATTAGATATATCTTAAATTTTATATAACTTAAATTGTTAAAAATTGGAGTCAGATAAGAGTAAGTGTCAAAACTGGATTCATGAAACAAAAGTTAAAGAAGTTTTAGTAATTTGTTTACAGCTGCGCAAGGGAAGGCTTACACGCATTTAACCTTCACCCATGCTGTTAGTTCTGTCATAGGACTAATAGATGGAACCTTACAAAAATAAGATGAAACAACACAATACTTGTTTTTTTGGGACAATTTAATTGTTTTATATTTAATTCACTTAAATTTGTAAAAACTATTAAGCTAACGTAATAGCTTCATGATGTCCCAACCCAAATTAATTGTGTGGAACTCAAATTTTTTTTTAAAGTGTTAGCTGCCTGGGAAAACAATTTCTAAAATACTATAAAACACAGAAATAATGTCTTCCCCTTTGCTAAACAAGTAAGGAAACATCCACCACTATATTGCACTGGGCTAGTAGTATTTCAAAGCCACTCACAGTCTGCTCCTTTTGGATTATAATGAGGAACTTTATTTTACAGATGTGAAAAAATACAAAAATAAAAAATAACACTTCATTAAACAGCAATAGTCCAATGCTAATTTGAATATATCTTAAGCTGAGCTTTCCATGAGCTAAAAAGAAAACTACACAGTGTAGGAGCATAGAAAGAAAAAGTCATGTTACGCATAAATGTTTTACTGTATGAGCCAACAAATTACACCTTCTGGAGCATAGTGTGCCATTTGGAGTGTATGCACTTAACAATGATGATAAATAATGTGGAGCCAGACCATGTAATGCTCTGTATTTCAGCCTCATAATTTCAAATCAACAAGGAACTGGACTGGAAGCCAATGCAAAGATGCCAAAATAGGATAACACCGTGAAACAATATGGTTCCAGTTAAAAAACAAGCAGCTGAGTTTTGTACATATTACAGCTTGTCAAGAGTGATTTGGATACTAAAAGAGAGGTACAGTAATCAATCTGGGAAAAAAACTAATTCATCTTCTCAGCAACAGTGAAATGTAGCATGCGACAATATCTAGCAACAATCATTCATTTTCTTTTCGGCTAAGTACCTTTATTAGTCTGGGGTTGCAACAGTGGAATGAACCGCCAACTTATCCAGCACATTTTATTCAGCAGATACCCTTCCAGCCACAACCCAATCACTGGGAAACACCCATACACATTCATTCACACTCATACACTATGGACAATTTAGCTTACTCAATTTACCCTTTGGACTTGTGGGGGAAACCGGAGCACCCGGAGGAAACCCACACCAACATGGGGAGAACATGCAAACTCCAACTGACCCAGCCAAGGCTCGAACCATCGACCTTCTTGCAGTGAGACGAATATGCTACCCACTTCGCCACTGGGTCATCACTATCTAGCAACATGTCTCATATAAAAAAGAAGCAGCAGAACTTTGGAAAAACTGAGAAAATGTATGACAAGGATTGAAGATAACTCTTAGATTTGTGCGTTTACTTTTAGTTTCCAAGATGGAGCCATCAACATGCCGACCAAGTGGACCAACTTTAGACATTTGATGAAGAGGACTGATAAGCATGACTTCAGTTTGGCCATTATTCAGGCAGAGAAAATTATAATTTATCCACAGATTAATTTTAGAAATACAATGTCAATGTCTTTGCAACCCTTTGCATGTTTAAATGTGGCTGTCATTTGCATAAAAAAAGGCTCTGAAGATCAAGTGATTGCAAACAATGGCTAAAAGTGCTAAAATGACCTAAAACTGAGCCCCGAGGGACAACAGTACACACACATGAGCAATCACAGACCTATAACCACACATGG